AGCGAATAAAGCACCGTGCGGCAGACGACAGCTGGGCATACGCAATACGTGCCCCAGCCAGCGAAGTCTACTAATCTGAATTCGGTGTGCTAGCAGGTTTATCCTTGATAGACTGCCAAACACATGACGACTTACCTCCAGATTACTAAACCGTTCACTCCATCCCACCTGAGCTTAACTGCGTAAACACCGATAATCGAAAACCTCTAGTCGATGGACAGCAGAAAGAATGAGAGCATATCGGGTGTAGCACAGGTTGAACCGATCTGGGGTAGATATTGTCACATCGGTAGGACCCTGATTTAGGCAGGACAAAAGTCACTTGACGGGACCGGGACGACTGTAATTGGGTCAAAAACGATTTGCTAGTTTAGTGGATGAAACAAGAATCAATAATCATTAGGTCTATCCATAATGTGGAGGTCGATTGAGAGGCCGACTAATCGGGTGTCATTCGGTGCGAGTGGGCTGCGGTATGATTTGAACCTTCGTTACGGATACAATCCTGAGTGGTACAGTACGATCTCAGAGAATGAATGATAATAGGTCAAGGCGACGATAAACACTTAAGCTTGTCTGTTTTCTCGTATTGATGAGAGCACCACTGTTTGAAAAAATCGCTGGTTGAACTAAGTGCTAGACGTTTTGATAAGTGGACACAGTTTCGTAGATTGTGGTTTCAAATCCCGGTGCTGCTGTGGACTAACTTTCCCTTCTGTTTAGCCTCATTTAATTTCGTTAAACAGGAAAAGTCCCCGTATATTTGATTCATCGTACACAGACCTCTCTCTGTGCTGATTCAAAGTTAAAAAGCATTTGAAGAGGAAGTAATTATGCATCATGCAGCTTTTCATTTCACGCTTCATTTGCCATATACGCGACGAATTTCTCCTTTGAGATTAGAATACATCGGGTGCATCGTTCTATAAAACAAACTCGGATAATTGTGAAGCGAATTATGCCGTGGTGATTGTCAACAGCCAGTACAGTACACGAGGTGTTGCAGTAACAAATATACCCATACCTATTCGATACAGAAACTTACTCAGGTTTGCGAATGATTCTATGCGGATAGTGATGCATTTCAGATTCCTGGAACTACTACATCAAGTGACTTCACCTATAATCTCCGATTACCTCGGACAACATCATTTTCTTAGTTAAACAGATATATATTTCATGTCAGAATTAGGGGGGCTTTAACCATATTCCGATTTATGGTTGATTAGCGATTATTTGTCAACTTCATTCTTACACGAAAAAGAACGCGACTGCTTGCAGTTCAAGTGAGACTGCCGTTTCGAACTAACACCCCCGTTGTATGCAATACACATATGGGAAATTGGGGCCAGATCATTGTTGGTGCTGTCTCGTACGCGCCCGGCACCCATGCGTGTGCTCGCTTATTTTTCGCCCGAGTGCACAATCCAGTTGGGCAGTTCTCAGGCCATATCAAAGACAGAAAGCGAGAGAAAGAGCCCCTGTAATGTCTGATTGAGATGATCGCCTCCTGGTTGCCCTAACCCCAACAGACATACGTGCCAGCTAACTCCCCCGCCAACACATTTCCGTATAACGTATGCACGTGCGCGCCACTGGACCGGAGCAATTAGTCCACATTTCCGCTTGGACGGGAACAGGTTTTTTGTGTTGCCCAAGCGAGCGAGCGGTCGAACGCACTCGCATCACACACACATGCGCACACAGATGGAGAAAGCGCGTGCGGACAGTCGCATAATGCGTAACCTGATACAACAAAACAGGGAGTAGCGTGTGACTTGAGGACAGTTAAACAGTGATCGACCACAGATCCCACCCAGGCAGTGGGGTGGGGCGAGAAGCGAAGAATAAGTTGGCTGAATAGTTTAGGTCGAGCGGAATTACGAATAGCCCATGCGATGTGTATGTGGCGTGATTTGCTCAACTGATTTCTTCCACTCAATCTCTGTTTCCCACCACCAGGTGAGAAATCGACGGATTGTGTTGTGTGATCGTTTCTGCTCGAAAAATAGAGTCACTTTGAGGTTAAATCAAGAACGAGAAGATGAAGAATCAGTACAAAAAAACACCATCACCACCACCATCCACTTTGTCGAAATGGGACTACTATTTCAATCCCTTGAGGTTATACGATCCTATGTGGGTTAGACAACAGACAGGCTGTTATCTTTGTCTCCTTCGTACTGTGGGCAACTTTTTGCTCTTTTTGTTGCGATGACGAGCAGAGAGAGAGAGAAGACGGTGCGTTTTTGTCCAGCCTCTACTACTACTACTACCACCAGGCACATCACTCCCCCGTGGTTTATCATAAACGAATGAGCTGACGCACACACACACACACACACACACACACACACGCATACACACAATCATCGGGACCGATGGAGAGAGAATGAGTGGTTAATGATGCTCAATCGAAAGACAGCTAAGAATGCGGATGTTTTTTTCAATGGTGAATGGAATGAGATGAAAAAAAATAATAATAATAGTAATAACGGAATGTGAACAATACTGACCGGGATGTAAACAGATATCCGAGTGGGGAAAACGCACACATACAACAACACATGGACATGTATAGTCATGCGCGCGCACACACTTCAGAGAGCAATTAGGTCGATAGCGGACAGATGTCGGGGTCATTTGTGATACGTCAACAGCCAGACGGACGGAACACGTGGATTGTTCGCCCAGTGATAAGCCCAGAGGAGAGATGGGGAAGTCACTTGTTTGGCCCGCAATAGGAAAGAGCTACTCTTACACATTCAGACAATACTGTGTACAGACAGACAAACGATAAAAAAACTCTGTGAACGTAATTTTGCAGCCTGAATGAGGGCAGTTGAGAACCATCACACATCCTTGGCATTGAACAGACGTAGATCAAAACGTTAACCACTATGAGTGAGAGATGAATGACTGGTTTCTGTGGTACGATTACGACGATATTCGCGGATCTGTTCTGTTCTAAAAACAGCAAGAGACAGAGAGCTTTAGTGAATCGAAGCTGTAACTATTATTTCTCAATCTACCGGAAATAATACATTCACAATATCTTTTTATCAGAAAAGACAAAAAAGAAGGATTCACAATGACTTAAGTTCACTTATCAGTCGACTATTCTTAATCTTGGTTAGATAGACGTAATCAATAGCACCAACCTTACACGCAAAAAGATTTTGATTCAAGAAGCAGTGAAACGATGATTGAAAATTTTACGTGAACAAATTGTTTCAAAACCTTATGTCTGGATAATAGTAAATCCCCCGCAGATAGAGTTCTGACCCAACCTCATAAATGGTCTATAATTATATTCTGTCTGGAATATGGATTACTCAACTACGAATTGTACTTTTGTTTTCCGATCTAAATGTTCAAACTTTTTGTCAATAAGTCGCACCTCTGGCTGAAACACAGTGTTAAGTCAGCCCAAGACCATTTTTGGTTGACTCGGTTGGATTGCCTGGTAGAAAGAGTTACTTTTTTCAGAGGAACTCGCATCAAGCAAATATATTCTGTAAAATTTCAAGAGGTAGTGAAAAAAATAAGACATCCTTACGTGTTCACCAATATATCTTCAAAGAAACATACCCCTATCGGTATCATGAGATCGGGTCGGGCAATGTTGTTAGTAATGGTGACGATAATACAAGTGTTTACAGAAATATCACATTTTAGGGCACAATCAAGAAGAAAAACTTATTTGATAATCCCTTTTTAAACCGAAAAGATAATATTTCTCATTTGAAAAAATATCAGTGAAATTGTCAGCAAATTATTTCAAATGAAAAACATAATAATTGTATTGGGCTCTGTCAAAAGTATCACTCTTTGAGCATATGAAATGATTGCAGCTTCCATCAAGCTTCTCTAGTCAACTCAACTCCCCCACCTCTCTTTCAGATTTTGGAGAAAAATATAATAGCAAATTTAACAATGCGAAATCATATTTTAATTCGACATGTAAAGTTGTTTTTGATCGATTTGAATGCGAATTTGTTGTATTACTTTTTCATGGATAAACCACATCATCAGGAATCGGGATATGCAATGGCAAAATTCCGTTCCTGTTCGGTGATCGGTTTGCGATCGAAAGCATAGAAGCGCTCCACATGCGCCGGGATAATGAACAGCTTGTGCATAACAGCTGCAAAGANAAAGAACAGCTCTGGCTGATCAATGTACTCGGTAAAACGCATAGTCAGGTACAAGATGGGCGACAATGCTGTACTGACAAGCATAGGTGATGTGGCTACAAATGTGGGATAGCGATCTTTTCCTCGGTTGACAGTCCAGTTTTTCCCCGGAAAGAGGAAATTGTTCACACTGGATTGTAGCGGATCATCCCAAACTGTGCCGGCTATCAGACGTTGTCTCATGGCTTCACTGACCGAAAGCAAGAAACCGATAAGGTTGTACGGGATCACTGTGACGTCATCTCGAACGAATAGTAGCCATTTCGCTTGAGGACAAAACGCCAGAGACCAGCGAAATCCGTGTATCAGTTTCGTCGTTTCATTCATTAGATCCACATCTTGGTCAGTCTGTACTATATCTCGATGTGTGGAAAATTCGGTGGCCAACGTCGGATCATACTGATCAGTGTCGGGTGGTAAANTTTCCAGGAGAAATGCATGTCGTACACGTGCTCCAAACCATTGCGATTCATTGGCCCAACTGGCTCGCAAGATTTTACGCTGATGGGAATTTTTCAGTGCAGATTGAATCAAAATGAGCAGATCTATTGAGGCGTCTGTGGTCGGACAAATCTGAGCACCGGACTGAAGCAAATTGTAATCGGCCAGAGCAACCGGGTTTACCGAGGGTTCCTGACCGGAACTAATGAGACAAATTTGTTCAAATATGTTTACGTGTAATGGTGCGGGTAGATATTCCGATTCATAAAACGGTTCCCTGGTGGGTGTTATCCATTTTGTTTTTTCTGGCGAGCTAGTGCTAGTAGTGCTATCCAAACAGTATTCGGATTGCAAATGTGTCAAGGAGCGAACATCGGTCAGTGAACCGAAAGCATTCCATTCAGCGACTCTTCGATCGACCAAACGGGATGCACCAATACTCACTGTGAAGTATACATTGATCAGGCCACAAAATAGGTCCCAATTCAAGGCAATCCTTGAGGTTCTTACAATGAGCAACATTCTAAATTGGATTAATCTGGCTCAGAATGTCCTTTACTTAGAGCATTCCTCTGCAAAAAAATAAAATAATGAGCTGTAAAGTAGTTCCAAATAATTAAACTGAAAAGGTTTAATAATTTCACGTCTGATTCGCGTGTGGGATTAAATGGTTTTTAGCTTAAATGGACTACTAACTAAAACATGAATCGGTAACTCAAAATGCACTAATTTTTTGACTCATAAGAATCGATTTTTGGGACAAACTGCAATAAAAGCATCGCAATGGGTTTACGGTCATGTAAGGAATGTGTGCTCTAAATCATGCATTAAAAGTTTCAGGTTCAGTTTGTGCAACCATTAATCTGCACTTTCGTGCACCGGTTTCGGTTGCTGTCTTTTGGTTGCCCACTTGGATGAAAAGTAGAAGAAAGGCAGGGAAATTTAGGGACATTCGAAGAGAAAATGGAGAATTTCAGTGGACTAAGGTTGCACATGCGAAAAAATCACTCAAAATCCAGTATCAGAGCGATCATAATTCATACCTTTTGCATGTATGAGAAAAGAAGATAAAAAATCACAAAAGGCGCTAACCTCAAAACAAAACACCGCGAAGCAATTGAGTTCAATCTCAAGCTCCCAGCCACTAGTTAGCAACGCAGTCCACATATTATAAAGGAAGGGTGTTTCATTAGAAATGTCACCTATTGATTTGTGTTCACCGTCTCCACTCGGGAACTTCCATTCTCTGCTTTCTCGGGATGAGGATGGTTTCAGTGATGAAAAGAGCTCTGAATGAGATGAAGAGCCAGTTGCAGGCAATTCACCTAAAGGAAATATGAGACCTGATTACAAATCACCCATTAAGAGGAGCATTAACTGGATCAAGGACCACCGTTTCCATTGGGTATATTGAGCAACTTGGTAGTGCGATTCTTTTCCGAGGTGCGTGATCTAACAAATGTTGTTCTGGCCCCCAACGGATAGTCGACTTGAACCGATCAACTGCACCAGGGTAATAGATTCTGTTGAACGCACCGGATTCGATTCGAAAAGTTGATCCCCTACTCTGACCGGGGTACTTACATGACAATTGGAAAGTACTCTAACCTTACACCACTATTCATCTTTCATTAACCGAAGTTTCTAGTATGTTCAGTTTCAGTATTATGGGCGTTTCGAAGTAGTGGTTAAATATGGCAGTACATTTAGTAAATAATGCGGAAACAAAAAGAAAGCTGACTTCGTTGATCAAATGTGTCATTATTCTCTATTGATAGTTAGACTACTTAAACGTCTCCTAGTAGTTAAAGAAGGCATATCAAAGAATGAAGGTTTCGACTAATATACTGCACGGATCAGCATTTTCAAACAATTTAACGGCCATTAAACATTGTTACTACACCTCTCCGCTTCCTTGTGGGTTAAGTTCTTTAACCAAAGGCTACGGGTAGGGTCCCCCAAGAAAATCCTCCACCTCAGCCTCGGCAACCACGTAGAACCACACCCACCATCTAACCATGGACTTACACATTCTCGCATGCCTCAGACTTTAACACTCACGCAAAGCTCCCTCTTCCCCAAATCTGCCCGTGAAAATATGGTACACAGGGTGCTGTTTTATGTGTCACCGAATACAAATTCTCGCACTGATTATACTAACAAACCCTAAGTTCAATTACTTTCTTTTCACTTTGAATTACCTGGGGGTCCAAGGATTTTGTCATTCTGAGGATATCGGTGATAGCTGTTACTGATACAGAACCCGGAATTTCCGTCATACATGAAGAACAAGGTGCTCCAGTTCAATACAACAATTTAAATTTACGCCCGATTGGGGCCTGATGCGAAAGGCATTGAACAAATAAGGCGTCAGCGTTTCGATGAAAAGAGTGACGTTGGTGCACAAAATTTCCTTCCATTCAAGATGAAGGGACATTATAATATGCATTGATCTGCTGAAACGTGAAAGATCACCAACTGATCTATAGAAGTAAACCGCGATGAGAATTAGAGCAATCCAACAGAAACTAACCGAGAGAAAGCAGCCCTATCCCGTGAATCATGTTTCTAAAGACTGTTCGATTTCATACATTAGGTAATCAGTAGAGAAACCTAGAATCGGACGGTAAGTATCGTTTCCACATATGGTTAGATTAGTGTGTACACACCATTATCATATATAAAAATTTATATATATTACTTCTCCTTCAGACATCTATGGCGGCTTTGAGACATCCAGCAGTCTGCGAAGAGTCGAGTACTAGGCCACAGCAGTTCGGCCAGTGCTGCTATACGGTGCAGACTCGGCCACTAAGGAGAACAAGATAAAGGATGACTGTCGGTGTTGAGACCCCGCTGTCTATGCAATATAGCACTAGTTTGGTGGAGAAACCGGACAAGTAATGCTGAGGTTAGACGCTTAATTTTAGGTAATCGCAGTTTAGCACTGAAGCAAGTGATTGAACTCCATCGACTACATTGGTCGAGGCAAGTGTCATGCACGTCTACACGTTGCGCGATATTTTCCGACTCAGGTAATAGGCGAAAAAGGCAATGGCGGACAAAATCAGACTTGGTATGATGGCGTAGAACCTAAATCAGGTGTTTCGGTTATTTAGATCGCCTTAGGCTTCCTGGATGGGAACCTTGGGATCACCGTAATCGATGATCAGAGACACTATGGGATATGGCTGAGTGTCCTAATCAGTGGTGCTCGTGCATCATTTTCATTGCAACTTTAATCGACTCGGGTGTCCCATTTTCATCTCCATACTGCTTCCAGAATTCCCATCTTCCTTCTTCTCCTTTCTCCAAGTAGTCAACCACGAAAATAGCAGCGCGAAAGTGCATGATAAATGTCCGTATAAAGTGAAACTGAAAAGGTGTGATGTATTTCTCAATTACAGAGAACAAGATGACGGAGTATTTTGGACAGTTGTTCACCCATCGGAGAATTGTGTCGAGCAACTGCACGGAGAAGAGGAATGAAATCAAAGAACCAAGCAGCATGAATTTAAGTTCATTGAAATTTTTCATCCTCAGGCAATGTCCTTGAGCAGTGGGAAACTACTACGCTTTTGCATTCATGCTTTATTAGGGGTCAGAGAAAAAGAAAAACCGAAGTTGGCCGGACGAGTAAGAATCACGCGAGGAAACAGGCAGTGCGTAATTATTATGTCGACTGTGAAAGCAAACAATCTCCCAGATAAAGAAGAAGATGGAGAAAATTCACTACTGCATCAGTGTTTACAAAAGTACATAGAACTGGGAACTGAGTAAATAAAAGTCGAAAATATCCTCGCGTATAGCAGATTTGAAACATAAAACTGAAACCCTCAAATTTGAACAATCGCAAAGGGAAATTGAGTTGTTATGCCAATGCTACAGGTGACACAAACAACAAGAAAAGTAAAATGTTTGGGAAGAATTTTAGCTGGACAGAAGTTACGAGCCTCTGTGGAATCTGTACCAAGAATTAGTCACTGTAATGACTCATTGGCAAGAAAGCTGTTCAAGAAGCTTTTAATTTTTGTGACAATTTAAACAAATAATATTAAATTATTATGTCACTTCAACATCTTCTACCTGGTGTCGCAGTTGGTCTGCTATAGTAGGTAACAAACATACAAACAAAGAAGCAAACAAACAAACACACACAAAAACACGAAACTTGTTTGAGCCTGATCACGGTGAACACGGAGAGAGAGAGATGGTGAAACACAAAGAAATGTTTTTGCACCTATTTTTAAACCGCCGTTCCTTATCCGTGACTGGTTCGGCTGCATTTTTGTTATTGCAGCATTAAAGTAAATACTTGAGAGATACAACAAATAGTTGTTGACCAAACAATTCTCCAAACATTAAGTAAAAAAGATATAGTTCATAATGGAGAAGTATATTTAGCACTTATTTAAATGGAATACAAGAACAGAACAATCAGTGTACATCACCATGTCACAGATATCAGTTGACACGGTTCATATGTAGCTAAAAGAGTGTATGAAAAATTCAAAAGCGGACAGTTTCCTGGAGGTCGAAGAGCTTGCATTATACAAAAAAGAGAGTTACAAATGGTGCCAAGGTAGCCGCGTTTACGATCAGTTTCTCTTTAGCCTAGTAATATTCTTCTAGTTGCAACCATTGCCAATATATACAGCCAAACACATGAGTTATAAAACCGTATGAATTCACAACCCCGGGATTTTATTACGTAAGTCTGACTGTAACGGCTTGAGAATGAAGTCATTAAACACATGCGCCTCGGTCAGCTATGCTCTAATTTATACTATTCTGAAAAGGTAGTGAATGTATTCTATGTGGAAAAATACGGATTCCTGAGTTCAATTATTTTTGTTCTTTCTAAATGAAATAGGTGGCTATTCCGAGAAACGTTGCCACAAAGTAATTCAAACGGGGTGATAAAATTTGTAAAAAAAAATAGTAAGAAAAATTAAACTTCCATGACGAAAGTTGGTCATACTCGGTAACTTCAGTTAGCGAAGCAGACTGATCCCTCAACGGAACCGTTCTCAAAATACGGACAACAGATGATACTAAAGGGATGTTTCTTGTGTAGTTCTGGCAAGCTAAACTCTGTAGCTTCATTTTTCCCTATTAGTTGTTTAATGCTGCTGCATTTCTTGAAAAAAGCTCGATATTGAAGGTTACAACATAGGTTACTATTTAATCCACTATCCAGACCGTACTCGGGGTGTATTCCGCTGGGTTAGACATAAGCGCGGTGGCTGATGACAACGCACCATAAAGCTCGTAAGAAAGAAAGCAGAAGTGAGCAAATGAGAATACATATATCAAGCTTAATAAAATTATTCAAGATTTTAGTTTGCTTCATCATTCTATCGATCCACGATAGTCTCGTTTAAAAAGATTTTGAATAGTTGGAGTAGACTAGGCGTCGATTCCGGCGGAAGGTCAGTGTTCAGTTTCACTTGGACAGCCAATCGATCTTCGTTACTGAGAACATCCAGATTACTACACAAGGCCAGCTGAATGATGAGATTTAATTCTGTTTTATATCAACGCAATCACCTACCGTTCGTGCCAAAACACGTATAGAGTTCCCAATTTCTGTCGGATATTCGTCCAGATGATGCACAAAAACCATCATCAGTTTTGTCAATACGTGTTTCTCAATCCATATCAGAGAAACGGCATTGTTTGTGGACAAGAGCTAGTAACGGAAAATGTGTATCAAATGGCACGGGACTCACTGCGACTAGAAATTCCACGAAATGTATAGATAAGTTGGGTAAGGGATTCAAAAACACTCCAGCCTGTAGCAACTCCACAAGGATACCATTCCACGGGTTTGTAAGAAATAAGAATCCTACATAAGTGTTTTACCATAAACTGACCACGATAAACTTACCCAAAGAATCACGCTCCAAATTTGTACAGTTTGTTTTATTCAACATAATACCAAAGAGCTTGATTGCAACGTAACGCAAGAATTGGTTAACTGGATCCATGATCAAATTTTGAAGACACAACATGAGCTAAATAGCATAAAAATGGTGTGATCACTAATCTTGTCCTCAGCCATTCACAAAGTGAACAAAAGGAGTTAATGTTTATAAACGTAATACCATAATTAAACGCACTCAAAGAAATATTCACATTTCAATAAACAGTAGCATCAACACTTATCCTCCTCTTTATTATACCATTAAGAAACAAAAGTGAAATATTGTGAACCCTGTACGGTAAGTTAGATGACCATCTGCAAACGCGTAACTTGCAATCATGTGAACAACGTGTAGATAAGTACCGATAGTCATCAATTTGGATGAAATTAAATGCATTATGTGCTACACAAAAGCCTTATTCGAGTTTAATGGAGACCGCCAACGGCACCGGACTCAATTTACCAACTTGCCATCAGCCACTGCTGGCGAGGATTTATTGAAGACTTCCGCTCCTACTGGTCAACACCCGTGGACACAGACCATGTTCTGCGACGAGCCACATTCTGTCCACGCCTAGTAAATGACCGCAGAAAACCCACCGAAAACCAGTGAGTTCCCACAATACAGTATCAGCAATGGTTGCAAACGGCCTTCGAAGTAGAACTATCAGATCAGGTCTCAGCTCAAGAATCAGCCGGAGGAATCAGTGAACACTGGACAACAATCAAGGAAGCGATCCAAACGTCGATCAAAACAACACAGATTCTGCACACGA